CATGCCTTTTATACTCCTTTATATGTTCTGGGTTCAGAGGGTCAAATTGTAAAAACTGCAAGTATCATGAGAATAAGAAAAAGAGTGCTTCAGTGCCAAAACTGTACCTTAGTGCTGTTGGGGCCGCAGATAGTCAGACTTGCTCCACACTGGCCGCCCTGCTGCACCTCCTCTATCACTGAACAGGGCTGAGTGGTCACAATACACTCCTTCACAATCCCCAGAAGCTGTCTGGGCTTCTCCTTGGTTTGCTGGATCAGATCATGAGACATGTCCAGGACCCTGAGGCAATAAATTCACAGAAAATCAGTGCTGCTTTTCACTGGGAATACTATTATCTGAGACTGATTCAAATCCTAAATAAATACTGCAACTATGAAAACTATGCAGACAGGAAACACAGTGGAGTGTTGTTCCTCTTTTTGGATTTTAAAACTTTTACGTGTGATGTCCTAAAGCAACTTTTCTTGTGAGTGTTAATATTTAACTCCTGTTTTGTGCGAAGTTTTATGGTTGGACAAAGATCACTTCAGCTGTTTGCGGATCTTTAACAGAATTTATGTCAGGTGATGTATATGATGCTCATGCTTCTTTTAAACCACACTTATCAGTTCTAACCTGTCTTTGGAGTCTCGCAGCAGCTTCTGCACATCCACCTCCTCTTTCTTCAAACTTCCAAATAGCGACTGGAGTTTGGCGGAGCGTTTGCCGCCCACGTTGGCACTGGTGCGGACAAAGCTTGCATTCACGCCTCCTTGAATGTTGTCACCGAATGTCCCAGTGAATTTGATGAAGTCTGTCTCGACCACAACTGTAAAAAAGTGAAACGTTTAGGTTTTCTGTGATCCTAAAAATAACGAATTCCTAACATTGGGGTAGAATTCAGATGGTAGTAAAATTATTTGGGTAGTAAAGTTTTGCGTCACTACGGTGGACTGCAAATAAAGCAATCATGACTGAAGTGAAGATTATCAGCTTTGTTGAAAGCATTTGAGAACAATATTCCAAAAGTATTCCCATGAATGACTACCAAATGCAAATTCAACGCTTGGAATCAACTCCAGATCTTTAATCTCTATCATTTCTCATGAACTAATGAGAAAACAAACCACATCTGACTATGAAACTGCACATCAGGCAGTTGTCTATCACTGCTGAGCCTGTATTGCTGTAATTCCTAAACAGTTAATTCAATATTTCTCTCAAACTCTCTCCCTTGAATTAAAGCTGGATATCTACACTTAAATCACATCTCACACATGTCAAATGTAGTGAAGTACAGATGCAAAACTATAAGAACTCCAGACAGTTATGGACCTGATTGTATTCAGTAAGGATTAGAAAAAAAATGCATTTTCCGTATTAGAGTGTATTAGAGGTATACCTGGCTTTATAGGTGTGTCTCCTGTTAGTAGATCACTGAGGACAAAATCAGTGGGAAGATACTTGTGCTTCTGCCAGAACCAGTATCGCTTTCGCTTCACCACCACCCGCAGAGGAGCAATAGAGTCGTTCAC